CATTTATTTTATTCACCCATTTTTGACGGAATTAGTTTTCCGTCAAAAATCATCGACGGAATTATTTTTCCGTCAAAAAATTTGACAAAATTAATTTCTTTTACATTTATTTTATTCACCCGTTTTCGACGGAATTTGTTTTTCGTACAAAATCTTCGACGGAATCAATTGTCCGTCGAAAAACTTCACAAAATGAAATTCTTTTCCATTTATTTTATTCATCCGTTTTCGACGGAATTCATTTTCCGTCCAAAATCTTCGACGGAATTATTTTTCCGTCGAAAACTTTCACAAAATCAATTTCTTTTCCATTTATTTTATTCAACCGTTTTCGACGGAATTAATTTTCCGTGGAATACCTTCACAAAATCAATTTCTTTTCCATTTATTTTATTCAACCGTTTACGACGGAATTCATTTTCCATCAAAAATCTTCGACGGAATTATTTTCCGTCGAAAACCTTCACAAAATCAATTTCTTTTCCATTTATTTTATTCATCCAATTTCCGTCGAAAACCTTCACAAAATTAATTTCTTTTCCATTTATTTTATTCACCCATTTTCGACGAAATTAGTTTTCCGTCCAAAATTTTCGACGGAATTATTTTTCCGTCCAAAATTTTCGACAGAATTATTTTTCCATCGAAAACCTTCACAAAATTAATTTCTTTTCCATTTATTTTATTCACCCATTTTCGACGGAATTAGTTTTTCGTCCAAAATTTTCGACGGAATTATTTTTTCGTCCAAAATTTTCGACAGAATTATTTTTTCGTCGAAAACCTTCACAAAATTAATTTCTTTTCCATTTATTTTATTCACCCATTTTCGACGGAATTAGTTTTTCGTCAAAAATCTTCGAGGGAATTATTTTTCCGTCAAAAAATTTGACAAAATTAATTTCTTTTACATTTATTTTATTCACCCGTTTTAGACGGAATTTGTTTTCCGTCAAAAATCTTCGACGGAATCAATTTTCCGTCGAAAAACTTCACAAAATGAAATTCTTTTCCATTTATTTTATTCATCCGTTTTCGACGGAATTATTTTTCCGTCGAAAACTTTCACAAAATCAATTTCTTTTCCATTTATTTTATTCAACCGTTTTCGACGGAATTCATTTTCCGTCGAAAACCTTCACAAAATCAATTTCTTTTCCATTTATTTTATTCAACCGTTTACGACGAAATTCATTTTCCGTCAAAAATCTTCGACGCAATTATTTTTCCGTCGAAAACTTTCACAAAATCAATTTTTTTTCCATTTATTTTATTCAACCGTTTTGGACGGAATTAATGTTCCATCGAAAACCGTCACAAAGTCAACTTCTTTTCCATTTATTTTATTCACCCATTTTCGACGGGATTAGTTTTTCGTCAAAAATCTTCGTCGAAATTATTTTTCCGTCGAAAAACTTGACAAAATTAATTTCTTTTACATTTACTTTATTCACCCGTTTTCGACGGAATCAATTTTCCGTCGAAAAACATCACAAAATGTAATTCTTTTCGATTTATTTTATTCATCCGTTTTCGACGGAATTCATTTTCCGTCGAAAACAGTCTCAAAATCAATTTCTTTTCCATTTATTTTATTCAACCGTTTTCGACGTAATTAATTTTCCGTCGAAAACCTTCACAAAATCAATTTCTTTTCCATTTATTTTATTCAACCGTTTACGACGGAATTCTTTTTCCGTCAAAAATCTTCGACGGAATTATTTTTCCGTCGAAAACTTTCACAAAATCAATTTCTTTTCCATTTATTTTATTCAACCGTTTTCGACGGAATTAATTTTCCGTCGAAAACCTTCACAAAATCAATTTCTTTTCCATTTATTTTATTCAACTGTTTATGACGGAATTCATTTTCTGTCAAAAATCTTCGACGGAATTATTTTTTCGTCGAAAACTTTCACAAAATCAATTTCTTTTCCATTTATTTTATTCATCCATTTTCAACGGAATTCATTTTCCGTCGAAAACCTTCACAAAATCAATTTTTTTTTCATTTATTTTATTCATCCAATTTTCGTCGAAAACATTCGCAAAATTAATTTCTTTTCCATTTATTTTATTCACCTATTTTCGACGGAACTAGTGTTCCGTCAAAAAAATTCGACGGAATTATTTTTCCGTCGAAAACCTTCACAAAATTAATTTCTTTTCCATTTATTTTATTCACCCATTTTTGACGGAATTAGTTTTCCGTCAAAAATCATCGACGGAATTATTTTTCCGTCAAAAAATTTGACAAAATTAATTTCTTTTACATTTATTTTATTCACCCGTTTTCGACGGAATTTGTTTTTCGTACAAAATCTTCGACGGAATCAATTGTCCGTCGAAAAACTTCACAAAATGAAATTCTTTTCCATTTATTTTATTCATCCGTTTTCGACGGAATTCATTTTCCGTCCAAAATCTTCGACGGAATTATTTTTCCGTCGAAAACTTTCACAAAATCTATTTCTTTTCCATTTATTTTATTCAACCGTTTTCGACGGAATTAATTTTCCGTGGAAAACCTTCACAAAATCAATTTCTTTTCCATTTATTTTATTCAACCGTTTACGACGGAATTCATTTTCCATCAAAAATCTTCGACGGAATTATTTTCCGTCGAAAACCTTCAAAAAATCAATTTCTTTTCCATTTATTTTATTCATCCAATTTCCGTCGAAAACCTTCACAAAATTAATTTCTTTTCCATTTATTTTATTCACCCATTTTCGACGAAATTAGTTTTCCGTCCAAAATTTTCGACGGAATTATTTTTCCGTCAAAAATTTTCGACAGAATTATTTTTCCATCGAAAACCTTCACAAAATTAATTTCTTTTCCATTTATTTTATTCACCCATTTTCGACGGAATTAGTTTTTCGTCCAAAATTTTCGACGGAATTATTTTTCCGTCCAAAATTTTCGACAGAATTATTTTTTCGTCGAAAACCTTCACAAAATTAATTTCTTTTCCATTTATTTTATTCACCCATTTTCGACGGAATTAGTTTTTCGTCAAAAATCTTCGATGAAATTATTTTTCCGTCAAAAAATTTGACAAAATTAATTTCTTTTACATTTATTTTATTCACCCGTTTTAGACGGAATTTGTTTTCCGTCAAAAATCTTCGACGGAATCAATTTTCCGTCGAAAAACTTCACAAAATGAAATTCTTTTCCATTTATTTTATTCATCCGTTTTCGACGGAATTCATTTTTCGTCCAAAATCTTCGACGGAATTATTTTTCCGTCGAAAACTTTCACAAAATCAATTTCTTTTCCATTTATTTTATTCAACCGTTTTCGACGGAATTCATTTTCCGTCGAAAACCTTCACAAAATCAATTTCTTTTCCATTTATTTTATTCAACCGTTTACGACGAAATTCATTTTCCGTCAAAAATCTTCGATGCAATTATTTTTCCGTCGAAAACTTTCACAAAATCAATTTTTTTTCCATTTATTTTATTCAACCGTTTTGGACTGAATTAATGTTCCGTCGAAAACCGTCACAAAGTCAACTTCTTTTCCATTTATTTTATTCAACCGTTTACGACGGAATTCATTTTCCGTCAAAAATCTTCGATGGAATTATTTTTCCGTCGAAAACTTTCACAAAATCAATTTCTTTTCCATTTATTTTATATATCCATTTTCGACGGAATCCAATTTCCGTTGAAAACCTTCACAAAATTAATTTCTTTTCCATTTATTTTATTCACCCATTTTCGACGGAATTAGTTTTCCGTCAAAAAATTTCGACGAAATTATTTTTCCGTCGAAAAACTTGACAAAATTAATTTCTTTACATTTATTTTATTCACCCGTTTTCGACGTAATTTGTTTTTCGTCAAAAATCTTCGACGGAATCAGTTTTCCGTCGAAAAACTTCACAAAATAAAATTCTTTTTCATTTATTTTATTCACCCATTTTCGACGTAATTATTTTTCCGTCGAAAAACTTCACAAACTTAATTTCTTTTTCATTTATTTTATTAACCCGTTTTCGACGGAATTATTTTACCGTCAAAAATCTTCGACGGAATTATTTTTTCGTCCAAAATCTGCGACGGAATTCTTTGTCCGTCGAAAAACTACACAAAATTAATTTCTTTTGCATTTATTTTATTCATCCTTTTTCGACGGAATTCATTTTCCGTCAAAAATATTTGAGGGAATCCTTTTTCCGTCGAAAACATTTCGACGGAATCAATTTTTCGTCGATAGTTTTTGACGGAATCTATTTTCCGTAAAAAAATTCAACGATAATTGAATTCTGTCGAAAATTCCGTCAGTAATTTCCACAGAATTTTTTTCCGTCGAAAAATTCCTTCGAAAATAATAGCTTTTCTAGTAGTGATTACAGATATGTCTTTTTATGTCTATGTGACATGAGATAATTATCTCCTATAGTTGGAGAAAACAATTTTCATATAAATAAAGAGAATATTATTTTTCATGATAATTTATCTCACGTAACACACAAAAAATTCACAAATTGCATAATTTATCTCATCTATTTTTTCATCTATTGCATGAAACAAATTAAATGCTCACAAGTTGCTAACGGAGGTTATTCAAAACTTGTGCAAATGTTCTATTCCTATTGGCGTTATGAGAATATTGTTAACCACGATGCAGAAGAGTAAAGTAAATGTGATCAGAAATGAAGTGCATCAGTGCGCATGTGATTGGTTGATAGATAGATACATTTACTGAGAGATGGGAGTAAATGCGTTTTGTCCATATGTTGATCTGAGGTACATAAAAAGTGGAGTTAATGTTATTAAAGGCTCTTCTACCGTTCTAACTTATACCAGTCACCAGACAATTCTACCAAATAGCAACACGACCCTATAACCTTGTTTATTTATTTATTTAGCTCTAGAGTCTTCAAAGATGTATAAATACATACTTGTCTTACTAAGCTTAACACAAAGACAGAGACAACGTTGAACCCCTTCTCCACAGGTGTCATTTTACAACAAATCAGAGAATGGCTATGTCTGTTCACAAGGTTGAGCCAAAAGGTCGAACCGTTGGTGGCACAGAGTGCAGCTGGTGCAGAGCGGTTCGCGGCGGAACCGGCACCGCGGTTCTGGCATTGCTAACATCAAAAGCCCCTGATATTTCCCGTCTCCAAAATGCACTCCAAATATTACAAAATTCCCATCCTATCCTCAAGTCGAAGCTCCATTCTAAGGAGGGGACATTCTCCTTCGTTACCTCTCCCACTCCCTTCGTCAAGATCCAATCTCACAACATATCCACAAGTTCCAAGATCCTCGGAAGAAACGGAAACGACACCGTTTCTCCCTTTCAACAAATCCTAGAACACGAGCTGAACCAGAACACCTGGCATGATCCTAGCCGTGCATCACACACTACCAGCAGCAGTAGTGGCTCTGACATGTTCGTGGCAAGCATTTACGCGATGCCTGACGCAGCAACGTGGGTAATGGTGATGCGGCTTCATGTCGCCGCGTGTGACAGAACAACGGCGGTGTCGCTTTTGAGGGAGCTGCTCGTGCTGATGATGAACGAGGAAGAGGGGAATATTGCAAGGACAGAGATTAATAGTAGTGAAGATTGGAATAAGGGAGAGGTTGGTTTGGCCATAGAGGATCTTATCCCAGGTGGGAAGGCCAAGAAAGCCATATGGGCACGTGGAATCAACGTGCTTAGTTACTCTGTGAACTCTCTTAGGCTAACTAATTTGAAATTTCATGACACAAAAAACGCAAGGTTTTCTCAAATTGTGAGACTGCAACTCAACCACAATGACACCAAGAGGGTTTTAGCTGTAAGCCTGTTATATACTTATATAACAGTTTTTCTTCTTCTTTTTTTTTTTAATTATGTATGTGGAGGTTTAGATCTCAAACTTGAGGGTACTATGCTATTTGAAGATGCCCTAGCTAGCTCCTTGGTTAATTATTTATTTATGCTAAATTTTTTAGGGTTGCAAGCAGAGCTTGATTAAACTATGTGGAGCATTGACTGCTGCGGGATTGATGGCTATATATAGCTCCAAGAATAGTTCCAAGAAGTACGGGATTATTACTCTCACTGATTGCCGATCCAGTCTCGAACCACCTCTCTCGATTCAAAATTTTGGTAAGTGAGTCAACTAGGGCGTAAATAGATTAGGCTTTGACTAAAATTGCTTGTATAAAAAATATTATGTATGGCCTAGCTTGTTACACTGTGTAGCTCTAAATTATAAGTCTGGCCTGACTTATATTTAAAAAATAAAAGTCTTATCCTAGGCCTGTTAGCCTGTTTAAACTATTAAACATTCAACAATTAAAAGAATAACTAAAATAATATTATTTTATTATTCAAAATTATTAAAATAATTATTTTATTTATTTTATTTAAAATAAATAATATGATTGGAGGTGGCAAAACGGGTTGCCCGCCCCACCTTTGAAGGTGGGCTAGAAATCTCAGTCTGCCCCGTCCCGTTTGGGCGGGCGGGGAGGGCTTCCCGCCAAGCCCGTGAAATTTTACACTAAAAATTAAAAATAAAATAAAATAAATCAACCAAGGCGGGCCGGCGGACTTGGTCGGCAGAGGGTTTGAAAAACTCAGCTTGCCCCGTCCCATTTGGCGGGACAGGCCGGCCCAGCGAGCTGAGCCCATTTTGTCACCTCTACATATGATATAGGCTGACATGTAGGCTTATAGGCTCGACATATACAAAAAAAGTCTATGATCTGTTTTCTAAATAAATTTTCTTAAAAGCTTAGGTCTATTCTATTTTACTATTTATAATAGGCCAAATCTAACCTAATATAGACTAGGTCGTAGACCCCTATAGGCCGGCCTAACCCATTTATACCCCTAGCATCAACTTTATGTATGTTTATAATATACATGCTTTTTTATGTTTTTTTGTATGCTACATTATTACATTATTTTTGTGTACCTTTTTATTTAGAAAAAAAATAAAAAAATTATGTTGAAATGTGTGCTGTGCTTTTTATTATATTATTAAAAAAATGATCTAAGAATAATGTATAAATATCATTTGATCCCTGTACCAGGATCAAACTATCAATGCCTGTCTATCCTTGACCGAGAGAAAGGACCTGCCAGTTGGTCACAATGAAATTGACATCATGCATAATTATAAATGCTGCATTAAAAACTTTACGTGCTTTCGGAGAGAAATTGAGTTCAATTCCCAGCATATACATTTTAGGAAGGGGTAAAATGCTTTAATGTAATTAAACTTCGATTAAGGATCTCATGTATAACTGGCTATGAAGCTTATCAAAATATTAGGGGTCGATTCACCTCAAAAGGTAAATAGTGAGGAAGGTAATGATTTTGAGAGATAAGTATTACACTAAGATACATTAAATTTGGAATATTCAATAATGTTTTTTCTAACGGAGAAAATTCTAGATATAATGTAAGTTATTGGGCTTCAGCCCATACGAACCCAAATAATTGTGCTTGTATATGAATATATTATTAGATTATATTATTTATATATCCAACTCGGTAAAAAAGAAAAGAAAGCAAAGAAAGTGAAAGAATTTAAATTCAATCAAAACTAACAGTCAAGAAAAGAAAAAGGAAAAACAGAAAACGACAGAACAAAACTGATCATACAGGCATTTTATAATGCATTCAATTAATATTTCTTTGGTAATATTATTTCATAATTTCATTGACAGAAAAAAAAACTTTTGAATGTTTAGGGTTTTATCACTCTGCCATTCTCAACAACCACGAGATCAAAGGAGGAGAAAGTCTTTGGGAGCTAGCGAAGAGGATTTATGGAACTTTTGCAAACTCAAAGAACAACAACAAGCACTTTTCAGACATGGCTGACATGAACTTTCTCATGTGCAAGGCCATAGATAATCCAGCTTTGACTCAATCATCCTCGTTAAGAACGTCCATAATGTCGGTGTTCGAGGACACGGTGATCGACAACGACGGCGAGATGCAACGAGAGATCGGGTTAGAGGACTACGTTGGGTGTGCTTCGGCTCATGGTATGGGCCCATCTATCGCCATTTTCGACACCATAAGAGATGGAAGGCTAGATTGTGTGTGCGTGTATCCAGCGCCATTGCACTCCAGGGAACAGATGCAAGAGCTTGTTAACAAGATGAAGGCTATCCTCATTGAAGGTGGAAAGACATACGAGGACATTTGATTTAACGGTCACGTACGCCCCCAATGGTTTGGTTTATGACTTACGATCCATCCCATCGTCAATTATATTTTTTTTTTCCCCTCGCTTTATCTTTTACCTACTGAACCGATAAATATATCTTTTAATATATGTGTACGAAAGGAATTTCATATAAACCTTATAAATATGCTGTGACAAGTTAGTACTATGCAATTGTTTTTAACGTCCGTACGTGGTTTAGCTATCATTAATGAGTGTCAGTAATTATTGTCAAATGTTTTGAGTCGTGAACAACGTTGTCAAACTGAGTTTCTAGGTAGAAATAGTAAGGGTGGTAGAAACATAAAACGTAAAAACGATAAAGTGTTTCTACATTATACTAGTTAAGATCAAGATATAAAATTATATATATACATGTAAAAAAATATCTCATAATAAAGATGTGTGTTGAGCCACTTATCTATCTAAAAAGGAAAACTATTTTTGATAATCAAATATCAAAATTATAAACAGTGATAACTAACAACAACTAATGGATAACTAGTATGTTCCAACTGCTTCATACACTCTGCAAATTTGGATCATCGCTCATCAGGATATAATTTCACTTCTTTCAATGCACACAATGATTTAAAAACACAAAACAATTCTCATAGCATAACTTATAATAGAATTACAGTTTTATAAAACATAATTATAAAAGACATATATCCAAACAAAAAGATATGAAGATATGTGCATATAATTTGAGGAAAGCGAAAATTGGATTTTTTTTAATTTCTTTTTTTGTAAATCTTTTTTTTTTTTAAATTCGTTTTAAGTAAAAACTGTCAAAATGGTAAAAATATAAGTTTTTGCCATTTTTACGTTTTTATATGGCGTTTTAATCAGGACCATTTTTACTTACGTTTAACACGCACCACTCTAATAAAAATGTAAAAATACGCTAATTTTTGACAAAAATGGTTTTGACTACCTATATATAAATCCTATCTTTCATGATTAAATTCTCGAGGTGCTCGTCGTATTAAAAGTAATGAATTTTCTTTTCTTCGCCCTAGTTTAGTGGTTCGGATTTCCCGACGTACGTATATGCTCCTGTAGTCCTGTTTAAAAGAAAAGAAAAGAAAAACCATCCCATTGCACATAACAACTAAGAAGGATGAAGGATCTGAATCTCCTTTATTTTCCTGGCAAAAAAGGGGATTTTAAATTAAATAAAACCAGCAATTAAAATGAAACAAAATTTATACCCTTTGCTATATATACATAGACTTGTTAAATAAGCAATATTTTTGTAAATTATTATAATGAAAATGTTATATATATATATATATATATATATATATATATATATATATATATTTACCATTTTTAAAAATTTATAATGTCAATTATTATTATTAATATATTAAGATTAAAAATTTTAAAAGTTATTTCACACTATGTTATGTACAAAAAGTAGTTTAGATTTTTTTTTAAAAAGGAAAAAATGATTTATATAATGCTATTTTAAGTTGTTTTTTTCCTAAGGAATAAACGATTTCATTTTAAACATTATATCTTCTTCAAACTTATTTAAAATATAAATTTTAAAATTATAAGTTTATAAATAATATGTTTCTTGTTGAATTTCAGTATATTATCATATTATTTAATTAGAAATATGAGGCATGTTATATTTACAAAAAATTTTGTTTACAAACTACACTATGTTCTCTCGGGAGAACACTAGTGTAATTTGTAAAAAAATTTAAAAAAATTTTGTAAACGGATTCGTCCCCTAGAAATATATACATTACTATATCAGTATCTTAATTTATTATTTTTATATATTATACAAAATTAAAAATATATATTTAATTGTTACGTATTATCAATAATTCAATGGCTGGTCGGTTTCAAAACATTGTTATGGGTTCGGGATGGTTAATTCTTTTTTTGATTCGAGTGTATCAGAGTCATTTTCCCATATTGTGGTTGGAGCACAGGGACACGCGTCCTAACCGAGAACTCTATCAAGTCCAAGTATGATATAGCATTTAACGGTTCCCCCCATACAAGTCTCTTATTTTTTAAAAATTCAAATGATTGGAGAAAAGTATGGGACTATGGGCAACTCTGTTTTATTCTAGGGTCATATTCCCAACAATTGCTAAATTGCACATGACAGTTGGTGGCACCATGTCCTGGTGTCTTTTTTTTCCCTTGGTATTCCCATTGGAATGGGTTATGAATTGCGAGTTAATTGCTGCTGCTGCCTCCAAACTCATCGTTTATTTTTTAGTGAAGTAAAAACATGATTTTTACGTGAAAGATTTAAAGAATTTAGGAGAAATTCAACTTGTTAAACAGTAATATTTGGTAGAGAAGTTAAATGTAAATCTTCAAACTAACTTTGAAGTGAAACTGTACAATGCACCAGGTGCTTGTAAAATTGTCCCATATTTTAATGAGTGAACATTAGCCTTCCTCATATATATACCCATTTTAAATCCTTCTAGGCTAATGGTCACTTACTGATCCACTGGATGATCTTTACAAATGGTCATCACATCTATTTATATATAGACTCAATCTTAAGACTATGGACTTGAAACACGAATTTTAAAAATATTAAAGGCCGTTTGGTACACGGATTTTTTCCAAATTCTCGGGAAACTGAAATTTTTAAAATTTTAAATTTTCAGATATTATCGTAAACTGAAGGTAAAAATTATATTTTTGAAAATTGAGATTGCCGGACAAATAAAAATTTCTCCTGTACCAAACACCCCTAAAGAATTCTTTCTTTTCTGAGCTGGATACATATTCTGGGCAATCATCATATCAGATTTAAAAGGAGGATCTTATCCTAAAAAAAAAAGTCTAACATCAACTTATATGAGAAATCTGCAATTGAAAATAATTTGAACTTCGGTAATGTTAATTTACAAGTATTTCCCAATTCAAATATATCTTTTAGACCTTTATCACGACAGAATTTTTCTTTAGAATAGAAATGCATTCTAGATTATTATTCACATTTGTGGACTTTTTTAGATAGTCATAATACTCATTATCTAAAATATAGTTATATACAGTTTTTGAGAACAGTAGTAGATATTATAGTTATAGACCATATATATATATATATATATATATATATATATATATATAAATATTTCTCAAACAGTTTGAGATAAGTTTATTTTCGGCTATTCCAAAACTACGTCGTTTTATTTATTTATTTCCTTATATCAATTTGATTCACCTTTGAATGGTTATGATTCCATTTTTCTTTTTTCTTCTTTTATTACCATTGATCCATCTTTGTACGATTATGATTTAGTAGCTAGAGATAATATTATCTCAAGCAACTCGAGAAACGATAAGCCCATATATATATATATATATATATATATATATATATATATATATATATGGGAAAAATATTTTTTCGGCAACTTGAGATAAGTTTATCTTTGGCCACCTCGAAATATAAGTTATATACGGTTATGATTTAATAGCCGGAGATAAAGTTATCTCCGGGCTTGAGAAACGAGAAGCCCTACATATATATATATATATATATATATATATATATATATATATATATATATATATATAAATATTTCTACAGCCACTTTAGATAAGTTATCTACAGCTACGCCAAAAACTACGTAATGACGGGTGTTTCTTATCTAAAGTGACTGTAGAAATATTTTTTCATATATAGATATATATGTTCGTTTTTTCTGCAGTCACTGCAGATAACTTCAATACGACGTCGTTTTGGGTGAAAATCATGTTATTTTTATAATTTTAATTTATTTCAGGGTTATAATAGTCTTTATATTTATAATTTTGTAAGATTTCAATACCAAAACAACGTCGTTTTGAAAATAAATGCAGATAACAAAAAAACATTTTTCTTTCTCTCTTTCTCTCTCTCTATATATATATATATATATATATATAATTTCAATTTTGGTCTTTTAATATCTGCCGGGAACTCTGCCTCTTGTTAATAGATATTTTACTGGTTAATAGATGAGGATAGAATAAGAGATAGAGATTGGAGAAAATGGTCAAGAAAGAAGTTCCAAATAATTCTCTTGCGTTCATTCCTTCCTCACAATCATATTTAACAAGCAGTCTGTTACAACCGAAAGGAAATACGCCCGAAATATGCGCTAATGCAGAAACAGAAACTGAAATGCAAAACAGAATTTATACATATAGATTCCTATCCCTCTGTTATGTTAATTCCCCTCCTCCTTTAGATATAGTCGCGCAAGTGGTTGGGCCTCTTAGTGTGACGTTTGGGCCTTGTATTACCAATAGATGGTTGGGCTGATGTAACATCCTGTCTGTACGCAGAATTATTAAATGAAAGTAATAAGCATGAAATCTGCATTTGTTTAAGGGTTTTATAAGAGTTATGTTGTAGGAAAAGTGATTGTGTAATGTTATAGAGATTCGTTTTGCGTGCCGTAGTTTTTTTTTTTTTTTGCTTCAAAAAGTGTGAGCCCCACAAAATGTTGTGTGTGTAGGAAACTTTCTTGTGTCATGTTAAATGATAAATGCAAATCCCTTTTGTTTAAATAAAGTTTACGGTATCTATGTGACTTTATTAGTGTGGAGAGTGAAGAAAGGATACTCGACGATGTTTATAGCCTGTTGAGATTATGTCATATTATCTGATCATATATCATGTGATGAGAGAATCCATTATCATTTTTATTCACATAAAATTTTCTAGTTCTGCTATTGATTCCGCAAGAATGGAGAGGCTACTCACAAAAGTCAGGCTCTTATGAGAGGAGATGCACATAATAAATGAGAATTCAACCCATGCTCTTGAATCACCTTCTAATCAATTATTTGATCCAAACTTTTCATATACCGAGTTTCTCAGCTGAACCAAGTGATAATTCATATTTGCAGTTGGGAGAAATTCGCAGCTAAATTACTGATATCAGCTACATTGTTTTTCCTTTTTTTTTTCTTTTTATACAGAACACCGTAGATATCATTTGAAAATGAGCAATTCAGATAGAGTCCAACTTTGGTTTGATATATAATTTTTCAATGCAGGATTTGTGATTAAAATGTGTGAACTTGATAAAACAGATAGTGTAAAATTTTAAATATAGAACATAATGGTGTGCCTAATAATAGCTTCTTCAATAGCTATAATCTGTTATGCAACCAATGTTTTATAATCTGATTGTTATGAAGTTTAATTGATACAGTGCCCTATTCTGTTCCTGCTTTTGCCTATGATCTAGTAATTGAATGCGTTGAATATATTAAATTAATTTTGCAAGATCATGTAGGGAAGCAGATAAAGGGGGATTAAGCTATGTGGGGCACTTAACAGTTGCTGGAATTATTGCCTCATGGACCTCTAAACCCCTCCCTAGTCGTCAAGGATTGCCACTCATTTCTCGATCCATTCCTCTCCAGCAATCTTCTTGGAAAGCAGCAGTTCCAAATAACCTTGGTGACATTTTGTTTCGTTTGTATTATTATGCTGCTGCTACTTTAACATTATGCCACCCAGGTTTGCAAAAACACGTTCTGCTTTAGTGGTAAATTTTTTTGTACAAATATGTATGTCTTCTAATCATTTATTAGTCTATTAGTATATTCTAATGGACTAATAAATAATGAAATAGTTAATTTAGTCAGACATTGCTGATTAAGACCACTCCTGGTAAATGAATTAATAGTTGAAATATGAAACTTGTCATTCAAAAAAGAGGGTTTTTTTTTTTTTAATTCTTTTGATATTTGATTATTAGTTGTCTTGCAATTCTCATGAACCGGTGCTCTTATGTGAAGAAACCCTATGGGATCTGGTAAAGAGAAGTTGCATGGCCTTTTTGTAAATGCTATGAACTGCAACAAGCATTCCTCTGACAAATCTGACCTGAACTAACTAATGTACAAGGCAATTGAGAATCCTTGTTTGAAAACACCATCATCATCGCCTAGAACTGCCTAGATTTCAGTGTTCGAAGACCCCTGTAATTGATGATTCAAATGAAATGCATAGACAGCCAAAAATTCTAATATACACTGGAGTAGGTACATCCAACGAATAAGAGCGCGCCACATCACTTGCAATTGTTTTAGAGAGAGAAAAAAGAGAGTAACTTTTATACTTTATTCTATGAGCTTGTTTGCATACTCTCTTTTTTAAGTTAGAAGCTACTTAAAAGTTAAAAAAAAAAATTAAAAAAGAAGAAGCTAAAAACAGTTTGACTACGGCATACAATTTTTAGCTTAAAAACTATTAAAAGCACATATTTTATGAAAACATATTCTCTTTCTATTTCTATAGTTCTTCGTTTAAAAAACAACATAATTCAAGACAAGTTGATAAGAGCTTAAAAAAAGCTTCTTCTAAGAGTTTTTGACTTTTAACTTTTTTTTTCATTATACAAAAAAAAAAACTTTTATCAAAATCTGTTTAGCCTAATTTCTACTATTAAATAACTTTTAACTAAAAAAATAAAAATCAGACAAAAACTATATATTACGAGTAGTACGTAATATTAAAATATACTATCGCATTCGGTCCGACAGTTGTACCCAAAATGCGCTCATAGAGAGCATGGTTTGAAAGACTATGAGGGTTGTGCTTCCGTTCACTGTAGGCCCATCTATTGCCATATTTGATACCACGCTGGATGGAAAGTAGGGTTTTGCTTGTATATACCCTTCATTCATGGGAGCAGACGCAACAACTTGTCTATCATAACCCTTGTGGATGGTTGTAACGGGGAAGATCAAACAATAGAACTATAATCCATTTCTGAACTAGTGATGATAATTTTTTAGAGCAATTAATGTATCATTGTTGTCTCTTCAATATTCAACTTATGTTGTAGATTCGCCATGATTTGTTGAATCTACTCAGACTTATAAAAGGAAGATAGAAATACAATGCAATTTTCAGTGAACGGAGTAACGGACAAAGCATATGCCAACGTTGCCATTACATCAGTAATATCCTTTTGCAAAAGCAAAGGTTTCTGTCTCAACTCTCAACAAACCTTATGACCGAAATATAAGTTTTTGCTCTCTAGCCCTTGAAAAAAAAAATCGCTTGTTTGTATATTTTTAAGATGAGAAAATTGTGGATGATAAGCAAACGTTGAAGATTCGAGAGTTGAAGGAAACTAATAACAAATAAAAGCATTGCCTACTTTTGACCTTTTTTTTATTTTGAAATCAAAATCATCTACTAAATAAACAGATCATGTTATCTTGGAATATAAGCGAGCCATGCAATTATAGTTAATATAAAGAAATCGTTTATCTTGACCCAAACGGGTCAATCTGGTCGGCCGGACCCGGACCAGACATCATAGACATTTCTCAGTTACCTATAATTCACATGTAAAATTGCTCAGATCAGGTCCCTGTAAGGGTACCATAATATTTCACATGAACCCACAAGGACTATAATTATTATTGTGTCTGTTTTTTCCTCAACCATGCTTAGTTTTACCCAACTTTCCAAATTTGCGGGCTTTAAAAGTGTACCAGGCACAGACACAGAGAAATGTATGTGAACGAACGAGTGTAAGTTAAACTATTCAACCAAAGCAGAACCTGAATATTTTACTTTCTGACAACTAATTTAACGTATGCAACTGTTGCCGCTTGATAGTTGAAAAAGAAAAAGGATTTAAAGTATAAGGGGAAAAAATATAGAAATAAGGCAAAAGCTAAAGATAAATCAATATTGAATGTTCACTAAATAACTAATTTACAGTCACAGGTGAGATCAATTCTAATTGAAAATTGTTTGTAGCAACATCTTCAATTGAAGTTATACTACTGGAGAGCTATGCACTACATATATGTGTGTGATCTGATCTATTTATAGCTACAAATATATCCGTTAATATAACTCTGATCACAGAAGAGTTCTAAATTTAACGGACTAACCAAAAAAAAAAAAAAAAAAAATGAAAGAGAGTTTGTGTTTTGTGCACTTCAAACAAATTCCCCAAAAAATTTTCCCAAGTCAAACTTGCCGTTGTTGCATTTTACAGCATTCACTACCTCCTGAAATGCTGAAACACTACATGGAACAACCAGGCCATTCCTCTGATCAAAACCAAATTCATTGTATGCCTTCTCCAACAGCATCTTGAATAAAGGGTGAGAAAGGTAACGGGTTGGAACCACATATCTCTGGCGCTCCTCCCCAACATAAAGTGGAAAAAACCCAATTGGGGTTATGTTGGGGGATGATTCTTCCTTAGATCCCCTAAGCAAACACTCATGGTGAACAGGGTCAGGGTCAACTCCACCTAAACCTTTACCCTTTTTCCCTAGTTTCTTGAAAGACCCCATCTTTTTCCCTAGCATTTTGTTTCCAAAAGATGAGGTAGATCTAGGATGAGAGCTGATAAGAGGAAATGGCTATTGTGCAAGGTGAAGGGATGCTTTAGGATTATATTAGGGTAAGATGAAGGACTAATGAGAGTACGGCCGAAATTTCTTTTCTTTTAAAACAAAATTAAAAGAGTCACTTTTGAATATGACTGCTTAATGTTGTGTACGGAAAGGTAATCTCAATTTTTTTATTACAACTTGCAATTATCTTGATGTGGTTAATGGCAAAGCCTAGCGTAATAATATTAGTTAAAAAGATTAAGGGAGATTGAAGAAGGAACAGTGAAAACAGGCATGCATGATATGCAGCACATCAACACTTTAAAATATTAGCATAATATAGTTAGGCGTGGTTCTCCACTTCACATTTGTTGGCTGTAAGCTATTTGGTGACGAAAGTATACCAGCCAATGAAATGGCGCAAAAAATCAAAATTTTGACATTTCTTGCATCTAATGAAAGATGACATTTATTCATTAAAAATGGTAAAGCACTAATGTATAGTATATAGTATATACTACTGCAGCCTGCAGTATTAATTAGTGGTCCATTGCGCATCATTATTGTTCAAAACTAACAAATGGCTTATAATTATGAGTTTCATTTTTGGATTCTTATGCTTACTCGGTTACTTCCACCACCGCTCTTCTCCTCTAATTTCAATTTAAGAAAAGCTATGGGACAGTGACCATTCTAGAACTCCTTAACTATAACCCAATAGTGACAAAAAGTAAAAGAGAAAAAGACAACTGATTATGTGATTATAATTATAAAGCAACCACTAATGGATAAATTCTCTCATATATAATTTAACATAATCAGATTATATAAGAAATATTAACCAATTATAAATAAATTAATGGTGATAAAAAAAAACTAGGATAAGAAATTACCGTGAAAAATAACTTTAAGAAAATATCTCAGTCTAATCATGTTAAATGAAATGATCCATTTCCCATTATTATTAGCATGGTAAAGAATATCCTCAGAATCATCGACATCAATTACTTTTTTATTTCCCTTTTGACCCTACATTATATTTTAGTAGAGAAACACCAATCACTTTTTTTTTTTTTTTTAGAAAAGTATGTCATATTAAATGACTCAAGTTATATCATTCCACAGATTCAAAGAAATATGAGTTACATAATAAAAAAAAAATATGAGTCCAATTTTTTTATATCTATAAAATGATACAACTAACTTATATCATTTAGAATGACAGATATTTTTTTTTTTTTTTGTTGTTAAAACACCCGCAACTTTACTCCATCATAAACGCCACGACGCGTACGGAGGAATGCAAAAAAGCTAAAGGGACCGAAATTTTAGAGAGCAAAAAATAAAATAAAAATAGTACACGCTGCAAAGGGGAGGAACATGATCAAAGTGTCACACTTTTTGCAAAAAGGTATCTAAATGTCACACTTTGTAAAAAAAAAATTCAAAATGACAAGTCACCTAACTCACTACAACATCTCACACAAATTAGGTGTTGACATGTGGCAGAAGATGGATGGTCACGTAAGCTGCTGCGCAGTGTAGTGAGATTATATAACATCAAAAATGCTATGTAGCATAGCATGTTTTAGTCAACTTATGATACATGACAATTCTGACACGTGACAAACGTGCTATGCAGCATAACATATTATGTGTGTATCATAAAATAATTTAATTTAATATAAAATTAATATAGAATTAAAAGTAATTTAAGTTTGTTAGTTATTTTATTTTTTAACTAAAATAATTAACAAACATAAATTACATTTAATTCAATAACATTCCTTAATTAAATTAAATTACTTAACAGTTCAAAAAAAAATTAACATAACTTAAACTAAATTAAATGAAATTAATTAACACTCCTAAAAATAAATAATTAATAGTTATAAAATAATTTAAATTAATAAAGACTGAATTAATTTTATAACTATTAATTATTTATTTTTAGGAGCGTTAATGAATATCATGAACACACGTAACATGCTATGCTGCATAGCATGTTTGCCACGTGTTAGAAAAAATAACTAAACATGCTATGTTGCATAGCATGTTTGCCATGTGTCAGAAACTGACTAAATATACTATGCTGCATAGCATGTTTGATGCTATGTAATCTGGTTACATTGTGTAGCTGCTTATATAACCATATACTATCAATACCTAACTGGCTAAATTATATAGTAAGTTAGTTGACATGATATTTTGAAAAAAAGTTATAAAATGTAACATTCAGGTAATTTTTTTATGAAAAGTGTGTTACTTTGTTATCCCGCAAGGGGACGGCTTCTGTAGTCAATTAATTCTGATAAAAAAAAAAAGATCGGGTGACTAAGGAAATGAAAGCCAATCAGACAGACAGGACCTGGGAGCGTATTGTTGAGCGTGATATCGAATCGACTCGGGTAATATTCACAACATGAGCGCGATGGATACCTTTGTGGCCCATGATTGATGGTTCAGTTTAGTATCGTACACATTACCGTGTACTGTACTTTTTGACGTTTTTGTATTTGTTTTTTCTAGGGTCCGTATACGGTATACCGTCACTTTTTTTTCTTTTTTTGTAATAATTATACCGTCACTTTGTTGTACGTTAAATGAGATAATATATTTATTTATAATTATTTTGTAATATGCGAGTATTTATAATTAATTTTTAAATTATCTGTATACATGTATTTAATTACGAATTCCAATCTAAAATAACATAATTATAAGAAATTAGATACTTCAATATTTAAATTATCATGTGATGAAATCAGAATTTATGGGATGCACCTGGAGTTTTGGTTTGACCCATGATATTATTGTTCAAGCTACTTTGATGATGGTTAAATTAGCTCTCTCACCTGTTTTCAATGAAATAAGGTGGAAATTATTGATCATGTAGATGTAAATTGGAAGAAGAAGATAATAGTATAATACATCTTAACCGAGTGTATTGAATTATGATTTCAAAATATTTTAATAGATTATTTTTGGACAAAAAAAATTATTGGTATTCAATTAAGATTTTATGAGGTGTATAGTGTAATATTCTAAAATAATAATTGTATAAAAATGATAAAGTAATAAATAAATAAATATAAATATATATATGTATAAAATAAAACAATAATAATAATGATAAAATAACATATATATATATATATTGAAGTATTAAATAATTAAAATAATATAATAGTAATAATAAATAAAATAAAAACAATAAAATATATATATATATATATGTACGTAAAGCGGCGCTGTGCTACGTAACATATATATATATAACTATATGTTTATATAAATAAGTACAAAAAAAATGAATAATAATAAAATAAGAAAAAAGAAGCAATGGATCACGATGAAGTATATCAAAGTGAATCCGGGACTGTCGTGTAGAAGCTAGATGATAAGGACATTCAGATTTTTTCTTAATGTAATGATTATATCATTACAAGTTAGTTAAAAACTAATTGAGCTAGTTTACATAGTTAAAATCTAACTAAATGTAATAATGAAGAGAGTCAAAAAGCAAGTTAGTGACTAGCCTATATATATATGTATGGAACACTGGAAACTAAAGAAGAGAAAGAACAAAAACGTAAGAGAGGAAAACTGAATCGGAGAAGAGAAAAGAGAGACCGAAGGATTCATATCGAAATAAGAGACAAGGAGTATAGGAAATAAAAGAAAGGTAATACTGAGAGTTAAAAACTTTCTCTCATTGCTCTTTTTTTTACTATTTCTTTTAATGATTTTTTTTAGTACTGTTACTTCGCCAATTTCTTCTCTTAAAATTCTTTTCTACTTGTTGTTATTTCTACCTTTAGTTTATTTATTTAATTCTAAATTTCTTACTTTTGTTTTTATTTTTAAATTTTAATTTTAAACTAGTTGATTATTTGGTACCAAATAAATATTAAAAGAATGTGTAAACTTTAACTGTATGTTACTGCTGTGAACTGACCCACAAAAGTTTGGGATCAGATAGTTAGGGTAAGGGACGCCTTATCATGGCTTGAGCTCCGCCATACAGAATTTTTCACATGCAGAGGCCCACAAAGTTGGGTATTTAATTAGCTTCAATTAAATATTACATAATTTATTATTTATTTTTATTCCTGCAATAATTTTATGAAATTACTTGAGAGAATGATATATTTTCCGTTAATACGGCTGGAACGGTTATAGTTATAAAACCTCAATATTACTGAGTATTTTCTCACGTTTTATTTGCTTTGCTAATTTTTTCAGATGCCTAACTTGTCTTTTTATGGAGAAGGATGGAATATTACTGTTAATTTTTATAGTGACCTTTGGGAATACTATATTGTCATGAGAAATCAAGGAGTTGTAGCTGTATTTTATCCTGACAGGAAAGGGAGAGAGGAAAGGGAGAAAGAGAGAAGAAGAAGAAGAGGAAAGGGAGAAAGAGAGAAGAAGAAGAAGAGAAACATAAAAGAAAAAGAAAATGGAAGGTAATATTGGGAGTAAACAATTCATTCTCTATTTTACTTTTAAAGTTAATTTTTAGATATTTTATAAAGCTATGTTGGTTTTGTTGTTATCTATGTTATGTTTAAAGTTGGTATTTTAAAGTTATTTCTTTAAAAGTTGTGATTATATCGTTACTCTGCCAAAATTATTTTATGAATTCTTTCTACTCTTTTACTTTATTTTCTATGTTTGGCTTTGTTAATTTGATGAATTTACTAATAGCAGATGTGAGAATAATTTTGAATCAAGATTATAAAAATTAAAGAATTTCTTTGGTACCAAACGAATACTAATGGAATATGTAATATTTTACTGAATGATTCTGATGTGACTGACCCACAAAGGGATCAGAATGATTATAGGGTAAGAGACGCCTTATCATGGCTTGAGCTCCGCCATACAGAACCTTTCACATACAGAACCCACAAGAGTTTGGGCGCTCCAGAATTGAGCATTAGTCATTTCAGTTAAAGATTACACGTTTC